TATACCCGGCTTTAGCCAATGCGACGCGCTTAGTGGATGCCGGATATAACCGGCGGTAGTCGCGAAAGGGTTAAGAACTTCAAATTTGCTAATTCGCACAAACGAACAAGAATACTATTATAGATCGTACGAATCATCGCAAGATCCAGGTATCGTTGAAGTTTCTTCATCACAATTTTTCCCATCAAATACTAAAAATTCCAAATTGTAATCGCACCATTTGCCAATTTTCCGTTCTCCAACGTTTCGCGTTCAAATTACTCTATATTTATAACCCTCCATTGTTTCTTCGATTCGTCGATGTTACCAGAAAAAAAATTGCAACGCGGCGGAAGAGAGATTTAACGAAGTTTAATACTCGCGAAAATAGGGGCTGGCGAAATTTTTCACTCTCGAATTTCGCAAGACGAGGCAGGACGTAATTCGCGATAGATCGACCTGTCGCGTAATCGCGAAATTATGTCACGCGCAAACACGATTCCCGTTCGAGTTGGCGCGTTACATCACGGCGATGGCTGAAAGCAAGCAGACGCGTTACAGGCATCGTATATTCGGAGGATCGTACAGCGGTGACGTCGCGACGCAAGAACGAACGTCGCGACAGATAAGACGGCTGGAAGATCGAAATCCGCAATGAGTTGCAGGCTCGATTTAAATGGGACCCCCGCGTCGAGCTGATTCATACGAGCTCACCTACTTTCTTAAAAATCGTACTGCTTACTTTTTATTGGGAACGCCATATTGGGGTTGCCTCGTGCCTGTGCTTTTTTCTCGAAATATCAACAGATAGAGTTAGAAATCGGTTACTTTTTTATTTGTATTCCTTAGTTAACGTGTCTTTTAAATATTGAGCACAGAGATTGGCTAGTTTTTATTAAATATTTTGCTGAATTAGTGTTGGTGTTATTGGAAAAATCGTTCACTTATAAAACTTACTTTTTGCAATTTTTTTTTTATATTATTTTACCTTTATATTAGGTGCAGAAATTCATTCTCTCGACTGAATTCACGTAATTTATTCAAAGACAGCGAGTTTCTATGATGATAGTATTCGCAAGCTGTCAGAAAAATTGCGAAAGGTCATAGACAATAATGGAAATTATTGTCGACGATTGATCTGTTTTCGTTATTTTTAAGTGAAACTTTGATTGTGCCCGAAGTCCCAAAGAATTCATGTCTACGCTTAATAATATTTTTCTACCTTCGAAATTTAAAAAAATACTGTGAGGTTCAAAGAAAATGTTCACTAACTTAATAATTGCGTTGATCGTTAGATTAATTAATACAATATTAACATATTTCATATAGTATAACATAACAATAATAAATTTGTTTGCACCCTGGGCCTAGAGTTGTATTATATCATATTAAAGAGAACTTCATTTCTCTTAACATACTAGTTTTTTAACGTAACACGTACATTCTTCTTCCCTGCTAGCTATTTTAAAGTGTGACATTTATGACGATTAGACTAATAACAATATCGGAATAATCTTGTTTGTAAAGGTATTAAAATTAAATTTTTTGTTTAAGACAATTTTTCTGTCAACAATATTCTTCCAAACTGTCGCATCAGCAATTAACGTTCAGAAAGGAAGTAGAATCCGTCGATTCATGAACATACAGAGTTCGATGCATCTTGCAACAATTGTTTCGAGGTTCGAGAAATTTCAAAGCGGCGAGAATACCTTGACACGCGATTGAAAACAAGGTGACTTGTCACAACCAATCACGTAGGAGGCATTAAACTGATGAATTAATGCAAAAGTGACCTTGATTCCATGCAGTCTTCGTAATCGTGGGCGGATGTTGAAGCGTGGATTCGCTTTTTCTTCTGTTACATAAATCCTTGTTATTAATATGTTCGAGTAACTGGCTCGAATTACCGACTTCTATTTAAAAAAAAAAAAGAACAAAAACTTCTTGGATAAACATTCAGTTCACGAACTGGATCTGGAATCGCGAATGTTTCTGCGAACATTTCGAACGGTTCCCTGGAACACAGAAACTGTGCAAAAACGAAAATAAGAAAGAGAAGCTTTTCACGATTTTCTCATTTCACATAATTTTATACTCGTTATTTATCAACGAATATTTTACGCTCGAAAAGTATCATATCGAATCATTTCTTCTGGATAATACTGTAAATGAATTGAATTCACAAATTTATGTAGATCGATTACATTTAAAAATTCTAAAAACAAAAAAACGGAGGATCTGAGAAGTCTGTTTCGTTCGAAATACAGAAATATGTTTGTACCCTCCTAATTGCAACATTAAAGCTCACTTTCTTCTCGAAATTACCGAACAAAAGAGACAGATTGCTCTATAAAATTGTACCTCGGAGAACGCGATGAAATAAGTGCATTCTAAGTGTAGAATAATTTTTGGTAACCTCGCTTCGTCGAGCAGATTTATCGCAGCGCTGAAAGCGGGTCGTAATTTCTTTCCCTCCGCGAACTAGGATACTCCGACATGCGCCGGTTAGGTTAACGCTCGAAAATTTCTAAATTCAACCGTTCCAACAAACATCGAAGCACCTGAATAACCAACCGCCACGCGAATAACCAAGAAAACACAAACGTGCCCGTTGCATTTTTCAATACGAAAGATCCTCTGCAACGTGTCCGGATCACACGTCCAGAGGATGTTGTGCTATACGGAGCGAGATAACGTTACAGAAGGATGTAAGAACGACAAAAAAAGAAGAAGTGTTTTGTATGTACACAACGTGGCAGGGTTTCCTCGAAAGATGGAAGCTAGTCGCTCTTAAAGTCTCGTTGACATAAGCAGAACAACTTTCTACGGGGCATACGTGGCCGAGGTGAACGATTCCATTTTTCTTCTCTTTAGCGTTATTCAAAATAGGAAACGGCGATACAGCGGTGTCACTTATCTGCCAATTAACGTCCATCGTTAAGGGATGTTGCAGTGAGGTGTTAGATCACCCATTGAGTTCGTTGTCGAATCTTAAAATTTAGATCAATATTTCCAACGAACCTTCGAATTTTATTTAAACAAAAAAGAAACGTAGGCGTCTTCTCATTCCACAATTTTTACTTCTTTTTGGTAGGACCATTATGTCATCGCTATAGAATTTTCTTGGATTTTTATTCAGATATTTTTCACTTTGACCTAATAGCTTCGAAGGCGAAAACTCCGGGCTAATTGTGAATAATTAGGAATTTTCGGTAAATTGTGGATAATTATTTTGTCGTGATTCTACGTTCGTAACATTATCCAAAGAATTACTAGAAACTGTACGTCTAGATTGGAGAAGTTTCTATGTAAGAAGAATTAGTTTAGAATTGAATTAAAAATTACTTCATTTTAATTCATAAACACCTACTTAATCGCAAAGGGGAACTGTAATTTTGATCTGCTTTCAAGAAGTTTGTTAACTTTCCTTTTTCAATAAGGTATACAGGAACACGGGGTACTCGTTGCGTCGCTATAAATTGTCTCTGGTAATTACGTATTGTGTCTAGAAATACTTGCACACCAAGTTTACAATAGCACCATAAGGAACGCTATATCTCACGGAACAGTTTCTCGGTATCAGTACCGCTATTTAACTTAGCATTTAGCATACCCCGATATGTTTCACTGAATAGTATTTAATAGTTAAGAATGTTCAGATACAGAGTGCATTAACTTGTTCCTTTAAGAAAATAAATACCATTTGTTAACGTAAATATGTAACAGTGTAATTCTTCTTGAGTAAACGAAACAGATTGGAACACGTTCGAAATGTACTAACTTAAACATTTCGTTGGAAATATTTTCTAATAAATTATAACAGCACGATTAATGTAGAATTAATGTTTCAATACTGTGTTCGCAGTTGTAAAGAAGTGATTTCATATGACAGCTTGAATAATTATAGAGGAAGTAAAATTATAAACGAACTAACGAATATTTTTTCTTGTACTTGTTACAGATCTGCAGAAGTTCGTACAAATACAATTGTAGGGGGATAAAAGGTGTCGCGGGCTTTCCTGGAATACCTGGCCCGCAGGGACAGGAAGGACTTCCGGGTGATATTGGTCCGGATGGTCCACCTGGTCCAAAAGGTGAGAAGGGTGCTGGTGGAGAATATGGTGGCACAGGAGAAAAGGGCAGCAGGGTGAGTGAAGAATCATTTCCCGAAAATAATAATTATCTTAAAAATTTGCACGGTTAAATTAATTCGATTTATATTCGACGGATCTCGATCGTCCTGTATACTTATGAAGCAAATATGTTTCTTAATCGGCAGTCAAAGTGTAAGTTTCTATAAGGATGATTATCGTTCGAAAATCTCTAAGATAAATCTGATTTCATTTCCACGATTATTCGGTCACATGTGTTCTAAATTGAAAGCGTGTAAATATCATGTTACGTTTAAAGAAAATATATACACGATGACTAAAACACGTTTTACAGTACAGAGGCGGAATTTTTGGTAACTGACGTAGTTACGTCGTAAAATTCTTAATGAGTGCTACAGATGCCTCGCCTCTTTTTCTCTCTTTCTTTTTTTTTTTTTATCGCCGTGATAAAAGAAATAAAATACAACGATGTTACGTGAATCTATATTATCGCAGCTGTGTCTTAATTGCTTCCGCACTTTGAAGTCATCTGAGTGAGAATTGCCTAAATTGTCCTTTCAGAACTCGAAGAGGCATTTATTCTTTCGCTGCAGGGCCATAAAGCGTTTAAATATTAGAAATGCTCATTAATGAAAAGCTGCTTGATATCACAAATTAGATCACAGATTTTAGAATTAAAAAGAAGTACCATAGTATGAAATTATTAACGAAAATTTAGTAATTGAAAAATATACCATTTAACTTCTTCCAGACTTTTTAATAAATCTTCCATTACTATTCTTTCTTCATTTTTTCTGTATACTCCACTTATAATGAAACTGACTGGCAATTTATACACCTAATAAAACTAACTTCAGTTTAAATAAATTTGCTTTTGAATAATATTAAAATTATTTCCTCAATACCCTACATTCTGATATTTGCAATATAAGAATCTATTAACACCTTAATCATTAATAAAAAATCATTAAACAGCAATACATAAATATTAAGTTAAGAGTATCTTAACGTGAATCATCAATATAAGTTTCCCTAATAAAAATATGAAAGCACCACATTTTTGAATTCCCATGATTTACCTTTAATTACTGTGTGAAGCTTGTTTTAAAAAATTCATTTACTAAATTGAACTACTAAAATCTTTAACGAAATATTCCACCAAATAAATACATTAAAATTGAAAGATTAAAACTACAAATTTTCAGCCAAATTACAAACCCAGTAATCGAAACCGTATCGCGGGAACTTCTAAATATAATAACAATATACCTGCCAAGGAAAAAGGAGGAGGACGAAATTCCAGCTACGTACTGCACAGTTACATCATCAAAGGGAAGCGGTCAAAGTCGCGCAACACCGTCCACATTCACGCCATTAGGCGTGCTAATGACAATACCGGAGACCAGTTTTTCTTCTCTTCGATTTTTCATGAAATTATTCCCGGGGACGCGTGCACGCGATACGATACGGGGATTAAAAAAAACGGTATGGCGTCAGCGGCCAGAAACGGAACGTTTCCAAATGCGGAGGATGAGAGGGAATTACCGAGGAACTCCCACGATGTCCCGCCCGCACTCTGCTCTCGTGTACAAAAGTACCGCGGATCCGTTCTTTCGCAACTCTCTCGTTCAGCCCTGTGCCGATACGACGTGACAGGACGTGACACCGCGAGGCGACACGTAAATGATAGTCCTCGGCGGGCAGCGATTCCGACCGTCCACGAAAATCATCTCATTACGAACGTATCTGCTCGTGCGCCGCTTTCTTGCGAATAAGGCCCCACGTCAAGATGATGGAACGACTCTTCGGTTCGGAACCGGGGGTTAAAAGAGTCTCGCTGTGAGAAATTTTGCCGGTGAATAAGAAGCGAATTTGAATTTCGAATGAGAGTTTTGAGGATGAGGTTCGAATGAATTTTATGCAGAATTGACGGTACGAAATTGAGAACAGATTGTAAGATGATAATACGACTATTGAAGATTTCTTTTTTTTTTTGGTTTATTTTAATTTTAACTTTAATTTTCTTCCTTTGTTGTTTTTATTTTCTTTATTCATTTTTATAGAAATGAAAGGTACAAACCGTTGATAATAGATAGTAATCGGGAGTGAAATGGGAAATATGAAACGTTTTTCAGTGAAATCGAAATTTTCTAATATTTAGAGTTGGCAAATAACATTAAATAATGCACGTGTTTCGTGGAAAATTAATTGAAATTCGAAAAGGAAGTAATGAAGAGGATAACGAAAAACACTTTGGAGTACAAACTGCAAGTGGAAATGTTACAAAAAGAGCAATTCTATCTCTCAAACGAAATTCTGTTAATCAGTGCAAGTTAAAACAAAAATACTAACAATTTCGTAATATTCAAAGTTGAGAGAGGATAATCAAAGGAGAATGTCAAACATTAGAGAATACTAACGTATTTTCGGCACTTTTAAACCGCAAAGGTGGGTCGTTTACCTAGGACGCGTCTCTCAATGAGCAAAAGTCTTTAAAAAAATTTGCAAAAATTCATACGGCTTCTTTAAACACTCTAAACGAACATTACAATGATAAATTTGAAAAATAAATCGTTCAAACATATTACTATCGCAAATATATAAATTAAAACACACAAAATTTGGAGGAATTAAATTAACAGAAACATGATAATGATCTCCACTAGTACGTCAACGTCTCTCGCCACAAATGAAAAACATAATCTTAACACGTGAAAAGGAGAACAGAAATTCTTTTCTATCGCTATCTGTCCCAAAATATCAATAAACAAACGATTCAACTGTAACGGCACGAACAGTAGTAAATTCCAGTTATTTCGTCCATATCACTCGTACCTTCTTCACTTCGTTTAAACGAACCAGCGGAAATTCTACAAAGAAGTCACCATTGCGACGGTTGAACTGTGTGCTCCTCATCGAAATGCAGCGATTTGAAAACGAGATTACACATGACGAAATTATGTAAAAAACTAGGTTACGAAACAAACAGAGGACGCAGTGACGGAGTGATAAGAAACTTTATCAAAACGATGCGAAATGATGTTAAGAGCCCGCCGCTTCACGGTTGTACAGTCGACCCCTTAATGAACGTCTATCAGTTTGCGGCCAGATAAGACTTTACGAGCGCATCTTTCTCCTTTTTTACGACACGTACGGATTGCATCTTTACATCGGGATGCCAGTGGCTTCCAAACGAGTTGTCCGGATGACGTCACGGCCCTTTCTGGTACCGCTGCATCGAGCGACCTTTTGGACCACTGCAACGTTGCCAGTACCCCCGATTTTCTCCGGCACTTTTGACCTTTTTCCATGGCTCGAAAATGTGCCGCGAAAAAAGGAGGATGATTATTTCATTGAACTCGATAACCGTGTGTTGAACAGAGAGGGTAATTCCATTTGTTACGTCTAACCGGAGAATTTCCGGATAAATTTGAAATTTTGCAAAAATGTAGTTCAATCGATGCTAATTACGGAACCATTTCTCGTTTCGATAATTAAACGGAAAAATTGTGAGTTTTCATATTATCGTGAATATTTACGTAACCGGTGCAGGATAGGGAGAAAAGGTAAATTGAGAGTTATGTGGTTCCTGCACTGTGGTGGTGAAGAATTTTTTAAAACGATATTTTTTTTTCAAAATTTACCCCCATCACTATTAATTTTTCGAAAATTCTTTGCTGTTATAATATAGGATATGAAAAGTCACGCAACTTTTAAATTGAAGCTTCTTCTAATCGATCGATAATGAATTTCTGTAAAGCTTCAAAATTTTTTGGAATTTTCGGGTTACCAAACTTTCCTCGCAAGTCGTAATTCAAGGATTAAATCTTTGAAACTGATGACTAAATTTTTAAAAGGTTATCAAATAGCACGATTACAAATTTTAGGGGATATTTTAGTAAAACAGAATTGATAGAGATCATTAATTAAGAGCAAATTTCGTACTACACTTTGTAGACATTACAACAGGTAAAATTGAAAGCAGCTCATTTCCGTTCGTTTTTACAATTTTTAAATGAAAAGTACATTTATACGTCCGAATAAAAAACTGCTAACTGTTCTTAATCAGCGATTACATTAATTTCCATAAATGTTCAATTCTTCTGACTAGTGATAATATTCACAGAAATCCGTCAAGAACGATAATAATGCAAACTTATCTATTGATGCAGCGATTAAAATGAAATTATCCCCTTTCGCTTCTAAAATTCTAACACAGTATTCCGTGAATCACGCAGAATTTCTACACCTCAGCCGACATCCTGCTGTTTCAGGAAACCATCCTACTTTTCCGCAAAATTATTCGAAACTCACCCACCAACCATACGCGATTTTATCGAAGTACCTTCGATTTATACTCCGATGTGGGTGGAATTTCGAGCTCGTATATTTCTCGAAAATCTCCAAGAAAGGCTTGCGACAATAAAACGTGTAAGATACGCGTAATGTTTTTTTCATTTGTTCGAGGAATATTTGCCGCGGGAACGAAGGAGAAATCTCCAACGATCGTATGTAAATTTCATCGAGCTCATCGCCAGTCTGGTGATCGTAAATCTTCCAGTACGATTCGCTATGGCAACCATAAAATCGAAACTGGCGTGCTCGATTAACCTGATCGTCGTTTCGACGTTATTGTTGCTCGCAGTTAACCTTCGCGCAACGATGTCCACCGCTTCTCTCTAATTCACTCGTGGCGTATCGAGTTCAATTTGAACAATTTCGCGAACGACTTTTTTCTCGGGGAGATTCGCGCGAAACACGTCGTAAAAGGAACGCGCGCGCGCATGGACGCTGATGTCATGGTCCTTTCTGGAGAACGGATGCTGCACTCAGTGGTGCAGCACTGACGCGTCGCGTCACCGAGCAACAAGTGAAAAAATGGCCACTCCTTTTCATGGTTGTTTCATGAAACGGCGCGAATGCTAGGTGTTAAACGAATCCTGTTTGACTGCTGTTATACAGGGTGGTTTGCCAAAAATACGATCTATAATTTATCTGTTGCTACCAATATTCTTTCAAATTAAGCCAGTTAACC